ATTATTATTTAATCATAATTTATGTGCATATTTAAAAATATGCAGTGATTTATGTTTCTACTTAACTCAAGATTTGAAAGCTAAATGTTTTAGATAAAGTGGAAAAAAAACCCCAAAGCTTTACAAATATTCTCTTAGCTTTCCCAATTTTTTGTTCTCACATATTCAGCTATGTCCTTCATATTTGGCATTTTGATTTATTAAGCAATCTTAAGTATTAAAGACTTTTAGCGTAGCAGCAAGACTTCAGATGCATTGTGCCTTGTGTCAATGATGAATTAATTCCAGCAGAGCACAAAAGTTACTATTATTTAAGCCTAGTTCCTCACCTCTGCTTTTACATCACAGGCCAGTTTGAAAAGGCTGTAGGTTAGGCTGTGTCTTAAGGAGGGAAGTGAGGCATGGCCATTTGGGGAATCTCACGTTTGTGGTACTGAGCAGCGTGCGCTCTGGCTCTGTCTTGTCTATGGATCAACCAACATGGGCACCTCGATGCCAGCACAAGGTTACACATCTGGGGGTGTTGCCGTGGTGGTGCTCTGTGCTGGCAGTTGTAGGCTTCAAATCTCTAGCCCTCGGCTCTGTCGCAGCGCAAAGACGGTGCCACTCGGGGGGCCAGGACGGCCCTGCCGTGGGTCCCATCCCCGCGTCTGTCCCGTTGCACGTGGGACGGCGCCGTCGAGGGCCGCGGCTAGCGGGCGGGGCCGCTGCCCGACTCCTCACCGCCCCCTGGCGGCAGTCGGGCGCTGCGCAGCTAGTCTCCCGCGCTCCCGCTCTCCGGTCCCGCTCCTCGCTCGCCGCTCCCGCTTCCCGCCACACGCCTCCCCGCTCTCCGCTCCGCTCCTCTCCCCGCTCCCCGCTCCCCGCATCCCCCGCCTCCCTGCCGGCGGCGTGCGCGGAACGGGGCCCCGGGGCGGGGTCGCGGGAGCGGAGCCCTGCGCGTCGGGCACGGGCCGCCTGCACGGCCTGGGCCTGGCAGGGCCCGGCAGAGCCCGCGAGCCTGGCGTGCCATACACCCTATCATAAAGTGAGGAGGTCTAATTGCGCTACGGCGCGCTATCCTGCTATTTGTACAAATAAAAGACCCCGTCTTGATGCAAAATAAACACAAAAGCACTGTTGTGACTATAACAGGGAGTCATATACTAATTTATATAATAAGTGGTTGTGCACGCTTTATTCAAGATTATGGCTGCAAGAAATGGCATGAATTGCTGGGTGTGTTTAATGCTGGATTATAGCAATTTGAAACATGTCAAACACATGGCTAATGCCTCATGCTTCACTCATTCTTGCGTAAACCTGCATAGCCACCATCCATTATACCCTTGGTAACAACACAATTCTGCAAGTAAATATTGTTACATTAAGTAACCTTTCAATTCAAGTTGTTTAGGAAGAGAAAATGCAATCTTGTGCAGTCAGTTCCAGTGTCAGTTTAATGTTTCAAAAGGGAAGTGGTGTAGAGAATAAGTATCTGTACAGTGACTTGCTGGCTTAAAACATACATGTGTGCACGTGCGTGCACACGCGCACACAAAAAATGTACAGTTCACTTCAGAAGAGAAAAGTAAAAATGTAGCTTCTAACTTCACAGGAGGAGTATTTTTTTTTTTTGTATGGGTGATAGCATGGTTACCCAGGCAGTATTAGGCATTCAACCTGCTGTGCAACCACGCACTAAAATAATCTACAGTTTCACTCTCTCGTGCACAGAACAGCAAATATTTTCCCCATACTTTTGTTCAAAATACCAGGTAGCAGAGCTTATATCTCACCTTTGGCGCCCAGAGTTGCGGAATCACAGGAGTAGGTGCTGCTGAATGTGTCTGTGAATGTGGGTGCATGTGTGCCTGTGTAGGCACGCTCATGACTGACAGCAAGTGTGACAGCAAGAGAAAAAGAGAAGGATTAGAAAGTATGAATGTGTATAAATGTATGTAAACAGGGACCTATATATTTTTTCTTGTCCTATTGGAATTCCTAAACTTTCAGCCTTAGTATCTGGCAGCCATCGTATTTCCTTTTTATTTATTTATGATTATTATGCTAACAATCTCCACTACTGTTGTAAAAGCAAGAAAAAAAGTACAGTAGTTTGCTTAGTAAGATATTGCAGGTTCAAATTATTTTGCCACCAATAACTCAAATTGCTGATACATAGATTTCAGAAATTATCCTTGTTTAGGTGTTTTCTGTACTTCAGTTTCTAGGGTTTAGAGTTGATAGTATGTACTCACATGAGTGCATAGATTCATGTATATACATATGTGTGTGTGTATGCAAGAGAAAAGAAGAGAAAAGAAAAAGATTCTATTCTCTTACTTTCTCCAGCAGCCCTTTTTTAGTTGCTGGCAGGGGGAGGGGGGTCAGCTGTGCACAACCAACACAGAACATTACTCAAGCCAAAGTTTCTGTGTTGGTTTTGAAAATACCCTTTTACAACTAGAAAAAACCCACACTTTATTTTTAACATAGAATTATAGGGATTCTTTTTTCTTCATATAAATACTTCAATATTTCTTCAGCTTTATTTCGATAGAAATTACTCTTTCTAGTATTGTTACTCTACAGTTTCCTTCTGTCTGTACACAGTTCTTGGGTCAGATTTGTTGTTTTCTATTGCCAGAATAGTTACTGGTCATGTTACATTAAAGCAGATTCTGCTGGCTCACAGACATTTTAACTTAAAATGCAGAGCCCGAACTACACTCTGGGGCTTTACAAGGATACAAAATCCACAAGACATAAAACCCTCTGGTTAATATGAACTGGAAGATGTTTAACCCTTCTCTGCTAATTGTAATGAAAGAGTCAGAAATTTATGAAATTTCTGGATGTTTTCTAGTGTTTTGATTGTCTAACATTTACACCCCTTTGCCCTTTTAATGCGCTTGGCTAAATGTACCACTGTTATTGTCTAATGTTCGAATTTGTAAGATGAACCTGTCTGTTGGTTAAACCTTTGTTTGACTAAAAGAGGATTAATGTTTGAGTTTTCCAAATTTCCAAATCCTTGTAACGATACAGTTGATGAAGTGTTTTAAATAAATTTCCACTCTGATATACATATCTTTTTATTGAAAGTAAATATTGTAAAAATCGGAAAGGGCTGTCTGCTTCCACAGTTGTGGCATACCCGCATTAGAATTTTCATATAACTACTAAGGGCAATCAGACCCTTTTCTCTGAATATTTTAAACATTGTACATGTAAAATTTATGCCTAATTTGAATACTTATTAGCTGCCTAATCTCAGAAAAGAGTATTAGCTTTGTTTTTGCCTTGTAAAATTCATCACTGCATGTATCATATTTTCCATTTCTATTATTTTTCTTCACTGATGTTCATAAGTGTTTAAGAAGGGCTGTTTGTTCATAAACACATCTGGTGCTGCCGTTGTTTACTGGGCTATAACAACTGCCCTCCTTTATGTTAACTGTGTTTGTGTTTAGGTTTTTTGCACCCTGTTTTTTTTCTGACCAGACCATCCTAAATAACTCATCTTTTGCTATTATAACATTCTTCGCACAATATATACTTTCACTTTATCTTGTAGGTGCTTGTTTGTGGTAACTCATACTGCATTTTAATTAATATCCCATGCACATTGTCAAAGTTGTAATGATCCTTTTCCTGTCCTTTTTTTTTTTTCTTTTTTCCCAGGGAAAGGCAATTGCTCATACTTTGCAAGGGAACAAATAGCTAAGTAAAATAATTAGGCTAAGCAGCAAGCTTTGTTTCCTTTCCTAAGTTTGCCTACACATCCCTCTCCCTTCAGAGGTGTCTTTTAAAATCACAGCTCAGCCAGGTTGTTGTGAGGACTCTGTCAGTACATCAGGAGTGAGGATGAAGGAAAGTAAGGTCCATTCTGACCTTGTGAGAGCAGGAGAGGACTTCGGTGGCTCTGAGAAGAGACACTGACCTTTCCGTATTACAGATACAAAATGCGCCTTGAAATTCTGGTTTGTAAGGGCACATTGGTTCTTTATTTACTGCAAAGATTTCAACTGATCTTGGCAGGACATCTCATTGCTATCCTGAAAGTACAGTATATTTATGCAGTGAAAATGATAAAACATTTATTACTGTAGAGAAGGTAATATGCATAATTTATGCTGTTTTTAGCACAATCATTAGTGATATTCTTGATAGATTTTATTTCCAGCTTTCATATCTAATACATGCCTGGAAAATTAATTTTATATCTTTCATTTATTTGCCTATGTTAAAATTGAGTTTTAAGTCATCTTCAAGTGAACAGTTTGATTGCTGCTCATGCATAAGCTTAATTACTTCCCAGGAAGGACAGTATTAAATGTTTTAAATGTCAGAAAAATAAATGAATATCAGCCGTTTGATTAAAAAAATAGGCAATATCTGACATGTTTGCAGCAGGAGCTTTTTCTTAAAATGCCTCCGAGGCAAAATTTTATTTAGTCACAAAAAAGGAGAAGCCCATTATACTATTTATCATTGGTTGATACCATATGATTTGTATCACCCTTACAAAATTTTAATTTTGTATGATTAGCTGTGCATCATTAAACAACAGCCTTGCATAAGATATGCTGTAAAATTCTGACAGAATCAAGATAGTGAATATTTTAAATAAGGCTGTATAGTCATCCATGGTTGTCAAAGCTAGATAATAGGAAATATAGAGCAGTGTGTGAAATCGTGCCTTCACTTAAACTGGTTTTATAGGTAGACTTTAAAATGTAGTCGTTCGTAAATGCTATTGACCATGCTCCTTGCGTGGTGTGTTATTTTGGCCGTTAAATGTAAGCACACAAAGCTTGCTTATAGAAACTATAATTCCGGTGATTAGTAGCTGCATGAAATCAGAGTTTGCATCACATTTCTTGGTAAACGGCTCCTTGAGGCTTTTTTCTTCTTCTAAAGATGCTGTCTGTATAATTGGCAGAGAGGGACATCTTGATAATGGAAGTGTGAAGGTGTAACGCGTGTGTTAATTGATACTTCTTAATCACTTTTAGGTATTAAGTCATGATGCAGGAATCTGCGACAGAGACAATAAGCAACAGTTCAATGAATCAAAATGGAATGAGCACTCTAAGCAGCCAATTAGATGCTGGCAGCAGAGATGGAAGATCAAGTGGTGACACGAGCACTGAAGTAAGCACAGTAGAACTGCTGCATCTGCAACAACAGCAGGTAAGTTTGTTTTGTTTCCTGTTTGTTTTTAAACAAATAAAAGGGCTGTTTTCAGAGGGGCACCCTTTTGCACACCCTCGGTGTGTGCTGAATGTGAAGTGTTGTGAAACTGAAGAGTGTGGGGCATTATTTGTTGTTGTTTTAGTGCACGTTAATGTTGAAATGCAAGGGTCCCGTTCTCGTGGTGGCAACATATTGCTGATATGGCTGCACACCACCACACTCACTCGGTGATTAAAGTCCCGCAGTGTATTTATAAAAGTTGTGCTGAAGCCTTGCAGTGTATGTTTTCAGGAACTGTTAGTTTACTGTGTGATTCGGTAGCACAGGACATGGTGCAGGGCTTTCCACCAGAGGGCCACATTACTTGAGACTTTGCTTCGTTTGCAATGAATTGAGCCAAAGTCAGAGCTGGGCAGTGAAGGGACCTTAGTGAAGGGAGCAGTCACTTCTCACAGTGAAGATGCTTTGCTGTCGTAGGTGTAAATAAAAAATGCTGGTTAGTTCAGAAATACTGAAATAAAAGAGAGAATGTGTTGCTGCCTGTGTGTGTGTGTGTATGTGTAACGTGGATGTGTGATTTTGAAAATATGGGAAAAGAGAGAAGCAGCTTTTCTATAGGTATGTTTCCATTCTCAATTTTAAACCATTTTTTTTAAGTTTATCTGTTTATGTTCTCAACAAGTTAATGGAGAACTGCTATGTTTAAAACTGTAAAATTAAATTGTCCTCTGGCCGCTGACGCAATCTAATTATGAGATGCAATCCATTAATTTTTGTCACTGTAAGATTTCTGTTCCTTTTAAAACCTGTGCAAACATAACTCCTGCTTTGTCTGCCTAAGGAGTTGCCCCCCCATCAGGGGACACAGATTGTACTAATGCAGTGAAGCCCAAACAGTTTGTTTTGTAAACAATTGGAATCTGATTCTGCAGAGTGCCCAATACCAGCTTCGAACTCCTGAAGTCTTTGGTTACTTATCCTCTCATCTGCTGAGGCCACTCAGCACCTTTGGAGTTCAAAGCCTTGATTTTAAATACTGAGGCTTTTCATTACAATGTCAGGTATTGCATTAATGGAAGGAAAGTTGTCTCCTGTAAGACAGAATATTATAAACCCGCTGTTTTATAGAAACATGTTTTAACATGATAGATAAATTGCATGTGTACGGGCCTCTGAAATAACAGGTCATAATAGCTCTTAAAATTGAATCATTTTTAGTGCTGAATTAAGCAGTGTACACTAGCTACATTTATAGTTAAATATTTTAAATGGTGACAGAAAATGTGGAGAAATGAAATAGTTGTAGATTGAAATATGAGAGGTTGTTAAGGCTTAAATCTGTGCCTTGCTTCAAATTTGAGTGTATTCAGTTTTAACAATTGAGCACTTACAGTATTACAGTCTGAAGAAATGCAGGTTTCAGTATCTTCATTAAGTTCTTAGCAGGTTTGCACCCCTCTCTATACATACACTATTATCTATATATGTACTTTTTGTTTTTATACTATTTTCATAAATTGTATGTGTATACATATAGATATAAAAATTTAATACTGTTTTTGTTGAAAATCATACCATGGTCTTTATTCAGGTTATAACAACAGTTTAAAATTTTTATTGAGAAAGAGTGTATTTAATTGGTGAAAATTTTTAGAAAACTAAATTTAAGTAAAACACTTTAAAATACAAAAATACCAACAGACTAATGTGCCACTTACATGTTTCTCAAAGTAATAGTCCTAGGCATGTGTAGCCAATTTGTCCATACAGTCACAGATTCCAGTAGATAGCATTTGCAAAGACCACAGAGAATTACAACTGAAGATGAAAATATCCAGTTGAGTACTAATAACAGACAGGTTCTGAGGGGACAGGCTTAGAAGTGACAATCTTTTCTTCAAAACTGTGATTAGATCTTAAATAAGCAGACAGGCAAAGTAAAACCATGGGTACAGTTAATAGGACTCAAGAGGCATTTTATGGTGGGGTCTGCACTGTAGGATTTAAATACAACTTGAGTTAGGCGTATAAATCCTTCTATAAAATATGTTGATGTGAAACATAAATACTAGTAAACATGCAGTAGGATGTCCTTTAGATAACGGGCATAGCTTTGTGCTACTTTTGTTCTTCTTCCTCACTCTGTTTCTTTTTTTTTCCCCTGTTTTTGACCAGATGCCTTTTGAAATATGAATTAAGAGGAAAATGATGGCTGGTTTTATTATTGTCACAGTAGTACCTCTCTAGAATATCATTTTTAATATGTGACTTGTCTAACAAACTTTGAGAAGTAGAAAAACAGAGCAAACCCCATTGTACCTGCAGTTATTATTCGTAAGAATTATTTATTGTTTAAATATGTGCAAGGTATAACGTACTCCTCTCATAGTTTAACATTCTGATTTTGGCTTCCCTGAGTCATTTTATTGTGGGCCTTCAAATAAACAAATCAAGTTTGTTATAGCTTTTTCTAAAGGAAGCAAGATAAATGATCACTGGTTTTAATCATTTCTTTCAACTGGGCAGCTACATAAAGTGTTGCTAATGCTTAAGAATAGGTATATCAGATGAGTAAAATCACAAAATAAGTTTTCACTAAAGTGGCACGAATATTTACCAGAGAAAGTTAATCATGAGCAGTTTTAGAATATATACAAAGAGCAACTGGGTAAGTTAAATTAGTTAAGTTACATACGTGGTGTATTTATAGAAAGTAAATACGCTAAGTTAGACTTCATTAGGTTCTTATAAGCAATTATTTAGAGTTTGGACAGTTCTGTTATTTGCTTGATGAACTGTGTTGTTGTGATCTTTATATAGAAATGGGAAGTTTGACTTAAATCAGGGAGTTATTTCTCTTCCATGTATCAAGACAGAATGACAGTATTCTATAATATATTGTAATATATACTTGGTGATAAATGGATTGGGTGCTGTCACAAGTCATTAGGTCGGCTTTGAAGATGTATGACTAGAACGTAAGCAACTTTTTATCTTACTGTCGATATTTATGAATTTATAAATATTACTAAAGTGAATATAGATTTTTACTATTAAAATATGATGGAAACTGTAATCTGCTCAGATTTGTTTCTTCTGCTTTTTTTGTCTTACGGTGAATATTCTGTCTTGTATGTGTACATTTGTATACTTCTGACGTTTTCACTTTCATTTTTTTCCTTGTACGTTAAAATCAGTGTTTCATACTGGAATGTATAATGCATGAAAAAAGCATATCCTTGATTAAATACATTGACAGATTATTCTGCATTAGATGTAGAATTTTATTTTTATATTAAGTTTGTAGAATTAATTGTTTGTGTCACTAAGGTCAAAATAGTTGCTAAAAAACCATGATTGCTTTACAGGGTAGATTTGAGCTTGCATTTTGAGTATTCATTAAGTCAGTGCTATGAAGATAATCTTTTTAAAATGTTTTATGGGAATTTATTGCTTAGAAACTGTTTCAGTTGACTATGTATAAAATTATTTTTCCAAAGCAGTTTTATTTCTTTAGTATATCACTTATTACTAGCATTTAATTAATACAAAATACAAATAGTGTTTCCAAAAATAAAAATTTGATGCTAGCATTTAGATTATCTTGATGATGTAAAGTTTTACTTTCTTATGTGTGATTATCGTGATTATTATTTGTGGGGTTTTTTCCTTGTGATTAAGGAGAAGGAAGATAACGGGGGAGTTTGTTTATCTTATGAGGTCTTGAATTAGGTGTTGACAAAGCTTGTGTTTCTGTATGTTGGACAGTAGTGCTATTTACTAAACCACTAGAAACTTTCATTTTGACTCCTTGAAACAGAAAATTAATTTTCTCATACTGTACAGGATGTTTGTATTATAAAGTGATATAAAAACCTGCAACTGTTACACCTGTGGCAAAAGCTGATGCCATAAAGAGCACTGATGACATGTAAGTTAAATAGAAAACTTCCTATTGCATCTAATGATACTTATTGTTATCTAAATTGACCACGGCATATTCGGCTGAAAAATGCTCCTTCCTAGTGATTTAAAACAGAAGTTAAAATCATGGAAAATTTTGCAGAAGTGATAGAGGCTCTCACATCACAAGTTCAAAAGGAGCGAAATTCTGTTAGGTTTATTCATATAAATTTCAGAGAAGGTATTACCAAATTAGCAGATGCTGAACTAGCAAAGGAAAGTATGTTTTACAAATGCAGGCACACACATGGTCTAATCTTTAATTTGTTATAGAATTGAGAATGTCCTAAAATACCAGAATGTAATTTCACCGAAGTCTTGATATGTCCCTAGAACTATTTGTTATTATTAGTCTTTATTTTTTTGAGTCCTGCTCTGTGCTTCTGCACACAGTTTTTTTCCCACAGTTGAATTATTGGAGAAGAGCTAAATTCAAATGCAGGCTGTCTGTCCACCTACTGACACTGCAACTGGAATAAAAAGAGCATATTTCATTTTCCACATCTGCCATCCTAATCTTTGATGAGTCCCTTACTGCCTGATTTTGCAAAAAATCTGAGCACATGGCTATTTAATATAGCTTCCAGGGGGTGGGTCTCGTTGGGACCACGCCTCAGTATTTCCACCTGTGAAATGGGAATGATAATATGTATCTGGCTTACATATTTGTTTCTGAAACAATTCATAAGCGAGACACTTGACTACATGAGCCAAACGATCTAATTAAATATTATAAAAAAACCCATCCTATCCCAATGTGTTATTTTGATGTGAATACATATTTTCAGACATAAGGTTTGTAAAAATGTCTGTTGCTTGTGCAGCCATATAGTTTTCTAGAGCTTTCCTTCAAATAGATGTGAACATAAAGACAATGTTCATCACAAGAATATATAGTAACACCCAAATGTGTATATTCGGGCAAACTGCTATAATATCATGGAAGGATTTGTAGAAAAGCACACTGAAATAAGTGTACCTACTTTTTTCCTAAGGAGAAAATAAGTTTAATAGATCTAAACCTAAATTAAAAG